TACTTGCGTGTGTAGAATAATACCATTAGGATGAAGAACTTGGCCAGTATAGTAGGAAGAGTCCTCGGATGCAAGGAACACATACGATGGAGCAATCTCGCAAGGCTGAGCAGCCCTATCCATGGGCACCTCTGACCCAAATTTTACTATATCCTCATCATCTAGTGCTGCAACTTCCAACGGCGTCCACACAGGGCCAGGTGCGACACCATTGACTCGAATCCCCTTGTCGACTAGCTTCTGTGATAGACCCCTTGTGAAAGACACGACGGCTCCCTTCGTTGATCCATAGTCAAGAAACTTTGGGCTTCCGGTATACGCTGCTACTGATGCGGTGTTTATGATGCTGCTTCCTTGGTTCATGTGCTTGATAGCATGCCTAGACAAACCAATTAAGTCATTGCCATCATCAAAACAAGAAAGAGAAAAATCTCTACTTGCAGTGCATTAATAAAATAAAAGGTTTATAAGACGTCAAAATGTCTCAGTGTCATATATAATAGATTGTTTTATTTGATTTAAGTTTCTAAAAACATACAAATATATCATATATGTATTCTATAAAAGTATTATAACTAGTTTATAAGATGTTTTTGGACGTCCTAACATTCTCTAGAAAAATTCCAAAATAAAAATGATTACATTCAACTTCAACAGTTTATGTATTTTGTATATTACAACATTAAATATATTATAAAGATATTTTATACATTTAATAAAATATTAATTATTTTCTTCTAACCATTTAATTTCATTGATTTTTACAGGTGGAAATAATAGAAAAATCATTTCTTTAACCTGCTTTCTTAATTTTAAAGAATCTATTCGAGCAAAAAAGTAGCTCAAAATCCCAAAAATCTCCATTTTTTCGTCATTTTTGCAGAATCTATTGAAGATGCTCTCATATAGATGTTCTTATAACGACCATGTGGTAGAATTTTTTGAGATAACACGAAATCACGAAATCTCAAGAAAGAAAAACTTCAGGTAAAGATTATGAGGTGATGCACAAACCTTGTCATGAAGAAATAAGAGAAAATGTTGGTCCTGAACACCCTTTCAAGCCTATCCTCCGTTATATCTTCTAAAGAATATGTTTCGTACTGCACGGCTGGATTGTTAATCAGGACATCGATGCGCCCATATTTCGCAATGACCTCATCAAC